AACCTCAGTCCTTCTCAAAAAAAAAAAAAAAAAAAAAATCTGCAAAAAATACCAGGTGAGGAAAGACAGACTTACCTACTCTGTGACTAAAGAGGTGGTATTTTCATCTGAGTGGGAAGTGGGGAGAAGGGAACCTGTTTCTATCAACTTGAATCAATTTGCTGAAAATGCAAAGTAGCTAATAAATCCCAACATAAAGTACCCCCAGTAACAGGGAGGGTGTTTGGATGCCTGCAAGCAGGTCAAGGTGGTCTCTGTGAGAGTGTCTGCATGAGCCTGACTCTTCCAGAAGCCCATTAGCAACATCAAAGGTGAAAGGCATGTTTCAGCTAAACAGAAGAGGACATACATCAGTGATAGCTAATGCTTTTAAAGCTAACAAAACACCAGCTAACACAACACATCAGATCTTACCTTATGACACGAGTATTCTCAGGGTTTTTGCAAAGTTAACCAGAAATAGCTAGATACAGGCCTTTGCCAAAGAGGGTTGCAAACAGCTAATAGCCACAAGCTGTGTGAGAAAGGGGCTAAAGCTCTTCTATTCAGGTAGAGCGAGACAAAGGTAGATCCTCTGCAGGATTATCAGGCCATGGGATACAACTCCTGGACCACATTCAATGGTAATATGTAAGCAAATGTCATTAAAAGCTTTCTACCTTTCTTCCTCCTAACATCTGCAAGATTCGCTGCTTCCCCCCATCCAAGTGTATGAGCTGGGGCAATGGATCTAGGAGTTTATAAAGGAACAGTCTGAAAGAGTAAATACAAGGGTGAAACAAAGTAAGTGCTAAGTTGGCATGGAAATGAAAGCTGGACTACTATCCTGTGTGCCCAGTAACACTTCCACCAACCCACTGACCTCCTCCTGCACAGATGCTTCTCAAACCCTGAGCAAGGTCACTCCAGCTAGCCATTCAACCTAAGAGAAAATCTGCATTGCCTAAGTCCCTTTACAGTGATTCCCAGGCTTTAAAATACTCTTTTCAGGATCTGTAAAACAAGATGTTTCTATTTTTTGAATGGAAAAGAAAAGCTATTGCCTTTAAGGTAAAAAGTCCAGCCTACTTCTTTCTTTTGCTCAGTGTCTCTCCCTACTAGGAGGGATGCTGAGGAGCCAGATAACATTTTGAGACTGTGTAAATACTCTGCTACTAGCAGCTCCCTAAACCTGTCTGCTTCCCATCAGAGCTCTTTAACTAAAGAGTAACCATCTACCTGAGAGAACTATGGTTCCTCACCACTATAGAAAAAGCCAGCTCACTTGTGTTTACCTTGTGGTAAATTCTCCATAGTTCTGTTAGTCCTGGGAGACAACATCTCTGTAAACAATTTAACCTGTTCTCAAGCCAATTAACAATGTGAATGAGACAAGTTATCACAGCCAGTCTGCAAAGCAGCCTGACATCTCATTGACTAGTGCAGTGCACACAGTGGCTTCAGGAGAAAGTGCCCGGAGTCCTGAGGAGGCTCTGCTGCGATTCCTGTTTCATCCTTCGATAAATCCTCCATGCTGCAGCTTCCTGGCCCAAGCCTGAGACTAAATATTTTTGCTTCCTCATAAACCTGTTGGGATGAAATGTGATGAGGTATGTTGAAATCTCATGGAAAGAACTGCATATCTGTAAAACCTTAGTTTGTATTTGTGACTCTGGCTTATATAAATATATAATTGCAATTAAGTAACACAGTCAACCATAAACTTTAACTCTGAATCAGATCATGGGCTATGACTCACAAATTCCACGCAGTGATTACAAAATACCTAATGAACTTGATCCAATACACAAGCGTTAAGTAATTTACTAAATGTCTGATAACGTAAGAGTAGGATTAGGAGGAATTCTGGCAGAAATTCCTGTGGCTTTTCCTCCTTCACAGCTCCCCATCGCTTAAGTGATAAAGATTATGGTTTCTAGGGTAACTAGACACATACACACAAAAAAGGACACATTGTCTAATTTAGTTTCCTGAGACTGTCAGAGGATTGTCCAGCTAGAAGCATAGTCTAAACATGATTATGAAAGAGATTTGTGGTTTACTTAATCACTCATTTTAATTTGCAGTCATGCCTTCCATACATTTTTAGTTTTAAGAGTAATTCTCCTATTTAAATGTGCAGTTTCTAACAAATAGCGACATGTTAACATTCACAGACCATTATTAAAGACACATAAAGGACAGATGGTCTTGTTGTCTATGTGCATATGTTACCACTGAGGCAGTTTTACTTTGCTTCACCCAGACATAACTGTAAGGATTTGAATAAACACATAATTTTTCTATGATATTTATGTTTCTGTATGGTTTATGTGCATACACATACACAGATGATAGACCAGATTACCATTTCAGATCACAGCCTTTCACACTGCAAAGGGGAATAAATGATGCAGGTCTTACAGCAGTGTAAGGGCCAAAAGCGACAATATGCTGGTAAAGCTGGGGACTAGTGAGCCTTTAAAACAAAAGAGACTTAGCTTTGTCTCATTCGGTGTTTGCGAGCAAGGAGTATGGGCACACATACACATTCCCATATGTACACTTGAGCTGTCTCTTTGCAACAGAGCTCTGCTCCATTTTTTTTTTTTTTTCAAACCAGAAGACACCATGCTGCTGCTGCAAAGCCTGCAGGGCACTGCCACCTCCTACCTTCAAGCACACCAACCATTCTTTACCTACATGTGGGCACTCCTGCTCTCTCCCCTCCTCACTTCCGAAGCTGTGTGTCATGGTATCTGAAGAAATGGCGTGTCTTCCCCCTCTTTGGGACCCATCTTTTCCACTTACCAAGGTCCAAGTGACTCAGAGACAGCATTCCTTTCTCTACCTCCCAACAGCATTTAGGTTACTAATGCTGGGTCAGACAACTTCCACCCAGTTATCCAGGACCTAAACATGATGTTACTCAAGATGTCCCTGCTGGGATGATGGCAATATATTAAATTGTGCTCAGGAATGTTCCTAGGCACTGGAAGGAGATCATCAGTTCTGCTAAATTGTTTGAGCAGGCCCATCATGGTTGTGGTCCATGTCAACTTGTACTCCTCTGTAGCATTCCCAGGCAGGGTTCCAAGAGCCAGAGCACTCCAGAAGTCACCCCAAGCAGCTTGCATGCAGCCACCCTGTATTTCCAGGACAAGGGACTGCTCAAAGAGCTCATGGCTGTTTCATGACAGCTGGCCTCAGTGCCAGAGACCATTCCAAAGCATGTTCAATTTACTAGTACAGACAGACTTTTGAGACTTCCAGGTCAGGGCTGATGACCCAGGTATGCTTGATGGAACCATACTCAATGCTAATGAGCTGATTCCTTTCTAATATCTCAAGGCATTTAGTATTCATACATACTGTGAATAGAAGCAACACCTTGCAAGTGTCTATTTTACAAATTATCAGTTGTTTTAAATCTAAATGCAATTATCTATTTTAAATTCTCATTATAAATATCAGACCTGCAGTCTAATAAGTCTTCCACATTCAGAGCCAAGTAAAGGAGTTTGAATCCATGATCAGACAAGAGTCATCCAATAAGTAATCTGATGCCTCAAAATGACACCTGTGAGTCACTCTACAGCAGTCTGTTCATTCCCAGTGCTGCAGTAAGCATCCCAGGCTCTGGTGAAATCTGAATTTAAAAACCTAACCCAGCTTACTGTCCAGCAAAAAGCTTGCAATGAGCACTGTAACTGATTTAACCTTATCCTGCTCTGTGAGAAGGCTGATTTCTTGCAGTATTCTTCATATTTCAAGATTTTCTGAGGTATATGTCCCACTCCCACAGCCAAAACTGATGGCAAACACAGCAAACCCAGGTTAACTGAGCACTGTTGAGGCCTGAAAGTCAATACTATGGCCCTGTCTCTTTTGGGCAAGTAAATACCCTGAAGAAACCTGTGAGTTTCAGGGGGCAGCTGCATGAATTTTAAGAGGTACATCAGATTTTAGAAACTTAATTCTTGCAGAAAGCAATACTTCCTGCAGCTATCTTACCTTTATCTTTGCTAAACAAGCACCACAATTTCATTTCCAGGGCCAGGAACCCAGGTGCTCAGTTACACCAGTCATGCTGTATAGGCTAGTGATGACAACTGAAGCATCAGCATCCTTGCTGCACTGTGCTGTGACCTGTGGACACCTCCTCCTCTTTTACTTCTTCCTTCAGAGCTGTACAGGCAAAGGGATGAGATGGTAGGTAGTGCAACAACCGAAGTAAGGAAGAAAGGCCCTGTTCCTTTGCTCCAATGCAATAGATGCACACTTGAGGAACATTCTTTTCTAGGCAGACAGCAGGTCAATATTTAGCAGACCTGCACAACTGAACCTCCATGGTATGCATGAATGCCCCTGCATGATGATATTTTAGACCTGGACAGTAGTCAGCAACACCTTAAGGCCAGAGGGCTGCTAAGACAACACAGAAACTCAACAGCATTTATAAAAACCAAAACAACAAACCACCACCCTGTGTACACATAAAAATGTAAGTAACCTTAAAAGATTGGCTTGATGTGTGCATTATACAGAACAACTGGAATGTTTTACACACAGCCAGCATTTTTTGCTTTGAGAATAATTAGGAAGGGTTCAAGATGACCTAATACCACTTCCAAATCATATCAGCCACTAGCTCCCTAGCTAAACTGTACTGCAAGCACCAGCTGACTTGCATTTCCTGTTCTTAAATGTTTTAAGTCTTAACTGCTGAACTTTGAGATAGAGATCATAGTAACAGCAACACAACAGAACAAAGGGAAGTGCAACTGAAGTAGAAGCTTAAACCAAGGCAGTAAACTATATGTTATTGATGTGCTTTTATTAAGAGACCATGTGAAGGACATATTAAGGCATTCAAAGCATTTCGGGGTGGGGAGGGAGGGGAAGAAGAGACAACTCTCGAAGTAAATGTTCCATGGAGACAAAATCTCTAATAATTTATTGACCTTCAGTTTCACATTGTGAAAAAAAAAAAAAAAAAAGTTTTACAAAACCTTAAAATGTAGTAGCAAACGAAAAGATACAACATAGACAATTTTACTTCTTCACTCACACAGTTTCTTTTAGCACATGAACCACATCTTCAAAAGCCAGGGAAGGGAACATTATTCTGCTCTAATCACTCTTATGCAGACAGGTGTCAGACCTAGAGAAAAGGGGCTGCACAATTATACCAGAAGAGGAAGGCTGTCCTTTGTTACATGTTTCTACAGCAACCAGCCCGCAAAATAAGAGGAACCTTCCTGTCTTATGCCAGGGTTTTTGTGTGCACTCTTCTGTGAACTGCTTTTGCTTCAAAGCGTGGGGTGTTTTGCAGCACTAGAATGGTCAACTAGCTAGCCAGGATTCCCACATCAATTCAAACAGCAAGAGCCTAGCATATACCATGCAGAGCCAGAGGCCCACCCTGACTTCAGCTTCCTTCAGCCTACACACAGGAATTAATTGAGGACTTGAAAGCAGACCACAACTTTGGAAACAGCTGCAGAAAATTCATCCCACTTTTGGAAGTCGCATGGTGCTACAAAACAGATTTCACAAGCTAAGTAGATGCAGTGCAGCTTCATGTCTTGACTATCAGCTCGATGGAGAAAACAGGTCTCAAACCTGTATGCCCTTATTCAAACAAGAGGGCCCCTGGGGACGCGGTTCTTCTCTTCCTTCTACCCCAGGCAGTCTCTAGCGCCTGGGGAGAGGACATGCAAAGCACAGGAAGTCTGATTTTATTGCTCCCTTCACACTCCCAGGAGTAATCCATAAAATCAAAGGCAAAAGCAATTCAAGGCTGTTTGCTTCAACAGGGCAACCTGTGCAAGTACAGGGACATAGAAAGGAGAGGTACCCTATTTAGGATGTTTTCTTATTGCTTACAAGCCATCTAAGAGAAAAGAATCAGTGCTGGGGGAAGGGGAAAGGGAAGGCTTAAACACTTTTTAGAAATCTATCATTTCAAGAAATCAGTTTAACCGGAGGAACTGTAACTGTTCACATCTAGCTGGGCCTCACCCTTTAAAAAACTGGTAATGCCTTTGCTAATTAATCAATGTTCTTTCAGTATTCACAGAACTCTAAATACTCTTGTTTCTGAAATACAAGGGTCTACTCCAAACAGCAAGTCAAATGTAAGGCAGCACAGAGAAACTTCCAGTGACCAGTGTAAACATTTTCAGATGACAGAACTTTCACAAATACAGCTATATCACTGTCACACAGAGAAAGGCAAACATCACCAATGTGACTATTTTTGTTTTGCATGCACACATGCAGCTGTTTACTTAAACGGCAGCACACACCATGTTACTGAATATGCCTGTTAAATTGGGCTCCAGAAACATTTACAAAAAAACACAATACAATACATGCTTCATGACAGGATCTGGCAAAGAAAGCACCTGTGAAACATAAGCTTCTGAAATCCAGAAGAAAAACAGTAGCTTCATCTGTCTCAAGACCAGACTAATAAGTAAATTTATGTAAAAATCAGTTTGGTTTCTAAGGATTGTATCTGACGCTTCTGAGCAACCAAGTGTTTAAAGACACACCTGGCTAAGGAAAATAAAAGGCAGCAGAGTTTGAGGGCTATTTTTAAGATTAAGAGGTTTTAAATTAATTTTCTATCCCCATAAGAATTTTGCCAGAGCACTTGGGTCTTTGACACCTGGCCACTCAGATGATCATCTGAAATCCAGATGGATGAGGCAGTCCAGTCAGTGCAAAAATTGCTGCTCTTGTTCTTTTTTTTTGTTTTTTTCTTTTAAAGACTTCATCACTAACCTATCTTGAGGTTTTTGTTTTTATTCTTGAATCACCATACTCCACTCATTCAGGTCAATGTGGCTATACTGTAAGTACCCCTCCTCCAACCCAATAAATAAATAAATAACTTTGGACAATGACTTCATCCAGGCTTGGTATCCAGAAGCTCTTCCACAGTATTTGCATTGCAATCAGGAAGCTGCACAAAGAGAGAGCTACAAGAGATTTTGGCTATTTCCAGATTACAAATTGAAAGGCATGACCAACAAATGAAATGTAGCAAGGACACCATCTACAAGACACACCACATGCAACCTGGGGAGCCAGTGGCCTGAGAAAGTGACCTCCATGGCTTCTTCCTTTAGTACACGTGTAATTTAAGATCCTGCCTTGTAATTCTTCCATTTCCGACTGGGAAGCCACCTCTCCCTCCCACTTCCAACTGTTATCCAACAGTTTTCTTTCTTTGTGCAGCAGAGCAAGTCAGCGATCACAAAATGTGCAAAACGTACAATTCACACAAGCCCTTGCAACATGAAGACCATTGCAGGCATTGCTTCAGCATGCAAGCACTGAACAATAAATAACTGTATCTACAACAAGTAATGTAAGAGGAATGGGACAGTTTGAATTACTTATAAATACAGGGAGGAAAAGGAACAAGGAGCATTTGGGAGATGTAATTTTTATTCCCCACTGTTGCAAAAACGTTTCACCACTGGTCTGTTCCTTGTCAAGTGGAAGGTCACTCACTGCACACAGGACAATGCAACGTGGGATCTAAAAGATGTAGGCACTGCCCACAGACAAGCACGCTCCAGTTAGCAGAGTTCAGCAGCAATAAGCGCTGCCTCTTCATTCACAGCAGCATCTCACTGTTTCAGACCTGGCCTGCTTCCCCTGCAGCTGGCGCTGGCACTTCAAACCACCACAAAGCAAGGTGACAACCATTTCAAATTTCACATACAAACAGCAGTCCGTGGAAATTGAGTGCTGTGTGCTGCACAGCTCAGAAAAGTTCTGTCTCTTCTTTTTCTCCTTTGAAGGACTGATTAATATTGGCATTAATCCACAATTACTAGCACAAGGACCTGATCATAGGTTTGTCCATTCATATTGAAACCACGTGCTGAAGCATTAAAGAAAGAGGTTTTTTCCTCCCATTCCTTCATGTCTGGGTTAGATAATTTACAAGGTGCTGATGATTTTCTTCAAATGCAAGAGACGCTGAACGATTTTTCTTCATTAAAACCTTTTCTCCAGATCTGAGGTTCCAGTTCTCCTCTCCAAATAAAGGAGTAAACTAAAAGCATGGGAAAAGGGGAAACAAATAAAAAGAAGAGAAAAAAAGACTTAAAAGCTTTTGCTGAGACAATGCACCATAAGGTTTTTATTAGATGTCAAAGAAAATCTAAAACCTAGGCTTAGGATACAATCCAGTTGATGGCTTTCCCACCCCCTGCACCTCCCACCCTCCCCTGTTCCTGTGTGATAGCCAAATACTGATAAATAAGCCAGCCAAAACCATAATTACTTAGGGTCAGAATCTGTCTTTATTCTATTTTACCATCCTACTGACCCCAGAAAGACCATTTCATTTTTTTGGCTATAAATTCAGTCATTTGAAATCTAAATCAAACTGGCCCAATACAGTTCAATATGATGGGCTCTGCATCCTGCATAATTTAACAGTTCTGTGTTCACCCAGAATCTTAAAGGTTTGTGGATTTGTTTGAAGCAAACATAACATTGTGCAACTTCTTTTCCACCAAAGCTCCCATGAACTCAGTGCAAAGAGTTTTTTCTATCCCTGGGCCAACACAAACCTGGCTGGAATAAAGCAGAAGGGGAGGTGAAGGTGTCTCACCCCATGAAGAATTCTGAATTTAATTGAGTCACAGTATAGAAAGGGTCATATAATCCCCTTACTTAAAACATATCTACTATTAATTAGAGCAGAAGTCTGCCTCATTTATTTTCACGGCAATGTGCCATGCATCAATAACTCCACCCTAGAGTCCTTTATGAATAAATAATTTTTAATGAGAAATTCAGCCTTTGGATGCTGAGATCCTGCTTTGCTAAACACTCTGAAGCTGTATTAAAATTCAGCTTCCAAATCATCATCAGCTCATCATAGTCATTTCTGATACCACTGCTAGAATTTTAGGAGGCAAATCCTACATCATTACAATGCAAAGGAGTTCCAGCGAACTCACAGTTCACTTGAACATAATACCACATCTCTCTCAAGCTGTGATGTCTAAGAACAACAGGGAACACTCATAGGAGGCACCACAGCCTACATAACAGCCCACAGCATCAGCCTCTTTGCAACTGTGGGCTTGAAACACACTATCTTTGTTATGTCTGAAAAAAGGTCTCTGCACTTAGTGTTGATTAGTCTTTCCTAGACATTCTTTAGCATAGCATGTCGTTCTTTCCGCTGAAAGGGATTACCAACACTGAAGCCAAAACAATGTTCCTTGTCATGGGATGAACTTAAAAAAAATATATATATAAACAGTTCTGAAACAGAGGAGGGAAAAAATCCCCCACCTACTCAGAAGCCCCAAGTTTGAGGAATGAGACAAAGCAGACTGAAGTCTTCCTAAAAGCTGTCAGACTGGGGCCACACAGCACCATGAAAACAGAGGGTAATCAGAAGTAATTTCCTTTTTGTCCTTCCCACCCACTGACAAAGCAGCAGGAGTCAGTAAAAAAAAAAAAAAACACAAAAAAACCCACCAAAAAACAACAAACTACTTGCTGGATGAGCACACAGCATTGGAGAGATTTCAGTCTACGGCTGTGTTCAGCCAGTTACCTTGTGTGTGAGTTAAGCTAAAATAAAGTTTTTTAAGAAGATACAACAGAGCAAAGGAAAGCTTTTTACACCGTTATATTCTGAGGACTCTTTTTCAAAATAAAACACGCCCTCTCATGTACTGTAAACTTTAGAACAATTAAGTCAGTCTCAGAAGGATAAGTCAATATTTTTCTTGGCACAGACCAGAGTCTGGGCATTCAGTACTGCTACTCTGATAACACTGATCACTGCTGAAAGTCAGTAATAATAGAAATTAACTGAAGATGTCAAGACATTGTCCCCAGCTAGGGAGGAAGCCACCACACAAAAGCTGGGGCCTCCATTTGCTGTTTGTCAGGGGTATGATTACTCCCAGCACCCAGGATTTGTTAAGTCTCAAGGGTTTGTTCTTCCTTCCCAAGAGTAAATCTAGGAAAAATGAAGTAAGGAGAGGAGAGAGGGCAGTGTCTTCAAGATAAACAACCACCTGAGACAAGAGTAGCTGATGGCACAACACAGTCCAATTTCACACTAGATTTCCATGCTGACCTGCTGCTTTGCATGGGCCCAACCTTGTATTCTTTACTTAATCAAAACTCCCAATCAGCTGAAGGACAACTATGAGATAAATCCTGTAACACAGAGAAAAGAATTTCACAACGACCCTGAATTTCTAGGTATATACTTCTACCTATACTACTTCAAAGAATTTCAGTTTCATGTTTACTGCAAGAGTCAGGCAAACGTGTCCAGCTGCAAAAGACATGAGAAAAAAAAATATGATCTGTCCCAAACAGAAGAACCTAGGTAAATCTTCATACACAAGCTGTCCTTCCTGTTTTCTGGAGAACCTAGGTAACTTAGAGGCAAACACAGAGCTTGCTGAATTACTGCAACTGTGTTTGCCTTGTTGCTTTTAACCTGCCTGCCTTCATGGTTATGCTATACACTGTTCAAATCCAAAAAGGAACTACCACTCACAGGGCATGGATTATTTAGGATTAAGCATACCACTGTATTTGTTTGGTTGGCTGGTGGCAACTGTGATTCTGTACTGAAGTCTCAAGGGTGGAATGGGGGAAAAGAGCAACACAACACTAACGGGGTACTGCCAGATTTGTTGTAAAATACACAGACTAACAGTTCTGGAAAATGTCAGTGACTTATTTTAAGTGATGTATCTCTAGAAAAGATAAAAATAAGAAAAAATGAGTAACACTTGAAGTAACAGTTAGTACTTAGGAGGAAATAAACAGATTTAAAAAAATATTGGCAGTATGTCTAAGTACCCAGATTTTTTAGTGGGGTTTTTTTTTTTTTTTGTGAATCTTTTCTCTGCTCCTTCTAAGAATCAGAAATTCACAACAACCAACCAAGGCCAAATTCAGACTTGCTGGTGAGAAGACACAGTGCTGAAGTTGCTTCTGGTAAGAGCTTGGCCCATTATGTATAATTGAACTGTTCTGGAACAGTGCACGCTATAGACCAGTAATTATTTCAGCCAGCAATATTAATTATATGTCTTCCTGACACTATATCTAGTCCAACATATGTGACCATAACTATTTTGAAAAATCTGTATTTTAAAGCATATCAGTGGAGCAAATGCAATGTTGGTCCATGCAGGTGGAACCTATCTCACTATCTAGGTGAAGTGCCTGTGAAACACCTTTCATAAGACAGCAAGTTTCCTTAATGGCTATCTGCATTGAGAAAGCATGCTGTCCGCCTGGAAATTCAAGTGAATTCACCATCAGGCTTCAGATCAGAATTTACAGTATCTTTTTTGGGCACTGTTGTCAGGAAAATGGCACCAAACCCCTGTTTAGCATGCATTTAGTATTTAAACACAGAGCAGGATTTGATTTCCAAAAGATTATCTGCATTTCCCCACAAGTTGAGTGTTATTTTTGCTCAGTCCTTTGTATCTCAATCACACAGGAAAAGGCCACGTAAAGAGAAGTTGGTGCAAGATATGTGGCCAATTACTTCCAGTATCTGGCTTTGTCACAGACATAGCGTCTGGTTTATAACAGCCTGTGAATGTATGTGTCTCGGTTGCTCCAGCTATAAAATTGGATTGAATATACTCACACTCCTCAGAGATGTGAAAAGCATTATTACAGTGTAATTCAAAGGTGTTATTTCTTACCTGGTCATTTGTAATTGCAACATACACACAATTATGAAGGGAGGTGCTTCCATGTGCTGACAAATGCTGTGGGAATTAACGAATAGGGCACAGTTGTTATGCTGTTCCATACATCCAACGTGGGATCGTAGCAGTCCAACGTTTTGCATCTCTGAATGCCAAAGTAGCCTCCAACCACATACAATTTGTTTCCAGATGCCACTGCATGGCAGCTCATTCGCTTCGCTGTCACATCTCCCACCTTAGTCCACTGGTATGCCTCACTGTTGAATTTATAAGCGGAGCATGCAGAGAATTCAGTATCTCCACCCATAATAAAAATCTGGTTACCCAGAACAGCTGCAGCTGTGTAGCGCCAGGGCTGGGGGCAGGTGGCTGGTACTGTCCACCTGTTTTCACACTGATCATAGCACTGAACTTTGGGCAGCTTGTCATGGCTAACGCTGGTACCTCCAAAAGCAAACAGCTTAAGTTTTGCACTGACTACAGCCGCATTGCTTACTCCCTCTCGCAATGGGGCAACCATGGTCCATTTGTTGGTCACAGGGTCATATTGTTCTACTTGCTTTAAGGATACTGAAGGGGAAGCTGGAAGGCAGCCAGTTGCTGCAGTGTGTCCTCCTACTACATACAAACAGTGCTTAAGCTCAGCAGAACCATGCCCAAACCTAGCTACCAACATGGGAGCGGCCTTCGACCACTCCTCATGAAGGGTGTCATACACCCACACGTCTTTGGAGACTCCATTTTCTGACCCTCGTCCCCCAGTGATATACACTTTGCAGCCTATAGCACAAGCGCTGAACTCTTTCCGTGGACTTGGTATGTCAGCCTTTGGAATGATCTCCTTTGCCTTTTGGTCCACTAAGTACAGCTTGTCACACATAAAGGTTTGGCCACCCAAAAGAAAAAGCGAATGGCCAGTTTTACGGGGTCTGGCACACAAACTAGTGACTACTCCGTCATTCTGTAAGATCTTTAACTTGCATCGTATTGATTCTTCTACAATCTCTTTGCTTTTCCTTTGCTTGGTGATAAGTTCTTCCATGGCCACATTCTCCATAAGGTATATGGCTGGCAAGAGGGCCAGTCTCACTGTCTGCAATAGCTCGGGCAGGTAACAGTGACGCTTACTCAGGTCATAGTTGACCCAGTTGATAGCTGATTCATAAACTAGCCTTTCATCTTCAGTTTCTAATTCTTCACTGGAAAGGAGCTGCACTACCATGTCTTTTGGCAGCTGAAGGAAGTCTTCACTTTTGCTGATACTCTGGAAGTTGCTAAGGCACATCCTCCAAGAGAGTTCATACAGCTTGGTACACTGGTGAGCATCCGACAGCAGCAGCATGCCAAGACAGTTGGTGGGATGAAGGTTTTTCTCCAGAAATTCTGCACAAGCATCCCTAATGTCCTGAAACTCCAGCATGTCACCAGCCTCCAGCAGCGACTCCGCATTCTCCTCATTGATGATAACCCTGGAGGAATATGCATAGTCCAGAAGAAGCTCCAAGACTTCAGGGTGAATCGAATTATGAAAGTTGACTTCACTGTCCTGGCTCTCTTTCAGTCCTCCACTGAACATCGCTTCAAAATAGCGGCTACAAGCAGCTAGAACAGCTCTGTGGCAGGGGAATGACCTGTTCCCAGCATGCAGAAGTACATCTGTGAAGAGACGCTGCTGACGCAGAAGGTTCAGGTGAGTAAGGACACTATCAGCATAGGATGACTTGTGGAACAAGTATATGTTTATGGAGCCAGTACTGGCCCTAGATTTGCGATTTTCATGCATGCTGACTGACATTTTCTTTCACACCTATAAACAAAGAAAATAAATTAGTAAGATTAATTAGACAGTTATTTTTGCATATCAGAAAGTGTATCTGTTATTCACTATAAGATGGGAAAAAAAGCCCTACTTTATAGATGAGTGGACAGAGAATTGCATCTGCCTTTGGCATGTGTTTATTTTTTTGTAAGATGAGTTTCATAAATGACATACTCTGAATTTGTTGCCCAAGAGCAGGTTTATCTTGGGAAACCTGATCTCCAACTTTCATAGCAATACAGTAAGCAAGTAAGTAAGAGGAGAAAGAAAAGGAACCAGGACTCATTTTCTCACCCTTCCCCAACCTAGACCAGTTGATTCATTACATACGTACACATGCATATGCTTGAAACATTCTCCTGTACTGAATCATAGCAGGAAGAGCTACCAGACAGAATACCTAAGGAATGTCAAAAGCTGCACAGGGAACAAAAAACCTACTAATCCCATTAGGAAATTTCCCTTTGATATAAATTCCATATGCAACAGCAGAGAATGGAAAAAAGGGAACTTCAAAATAAAAACCTAGCAATGATCATAAATTTATAGACTTGTGAAATCATAAAAAAAAATAGAAGACAAATTTCAGAGATTACATTTCGAACTCTGCCAGCAGCTGCCTGCTATAATGATACAGCATATACATACATGGGCAGAGTCAGCAGACAATGTGTTTTGACTATCAGCTGAAGTCACGGAGGTATCACCTCTGAAGCTGCCTTGAGTCAGGTACTCAGAGCACAAGCCATTGATTTACTCTGAGGTTTGGAGGAGGGATAAAACAGAAGATCTATCCTATCCTACTCTGTTCACAACAAACACAATGCTGTTTGGTCCCTGTTCGGAGATGAATGTTACTGTTACCTGCTATAATATGCAGGTCTACATATGATTACAGAAGCAAGTTTCCAGATTTAATTAAGAGTCAAGCCAAAGTAGTATGGAGTATAAGGAAAGGGAGGAATACTGGCAGCCATATAAGCTAATGGCCAAAAAGCCACAGTGCAAGTAATAAGAGGTGAAGCATACAGAGCCCAGTGCATGCTGTGGATGTGACCACTATACTCTCTATCACTTCTCTCTCTCTCCAAGCTGCAGAGGAAGCTTGGAGAAATACAAGAACCAAACTTCCCTAAATATTATGATACTCATATGCCTGGCGTCCCTTTTACTGAACCATCAAATAAGGAACAGGGCAAAAGCCTACCTGGGAAGCACCCAATGCTCAAAGTCAGAGCATGACCTGAGGCCACTTGTGGAGGTTTTTAATGTGGATATACTTCCCTCTCTCATAGACTCAAACATTTCCATATTCCTGAGCATGTTTAAGCAGTACAGAACTGCACAACTCTACTCCCACACTTCATGCTTCAACACAAGAGCTTTACGAGCTTCAAAAAAACCCCACCATTTTTTAATAAATACACATGTTTTTCTAGATTTGTATGACCAGAACCTTATCAAGATCAAAGCCATACATGATTAATTTCGGCAACAGACTCCATTTCAGAACAAGCAATCTGTGCATATGCAATATGTAACACCTACAGAATAAATGCAGCATAGCCTCCTTGTTAGCTGTGCTAACATACAAAATAATAGATTCTGTCACATCCAAAGATGTGATACATATTTCCCTTCAGTCACAGCAAAAAAGCCCCTCAAGCCAACATCAATTAAGGAACAAAGAGACATCTTACTGTAAAACTACCAGAGCCCATTTCCTCTAAACTGAAACATGACCTCCCTGATGAAACTTAACTGGGATTGAACAGAACAAGCAACACAGCTCAATATACAGTGCTCAATTCAAAATCCTCCAAAACAGAGAGGAATCATTCCCATCAGAGCCACAAGGCAGAGTCTCTGTCTCACTCTACCATGGAAAAAATTTGGAAATGTATTTTCCCAATGCTCCTTATACCAACCTATTAAATGCACTAAGAATGACCAATTTAAGGAGGCTGGTTTATGCTCAAATTACAAATCCTTTTACAAGAAAAAATAAATTACCTTTACTGCAATTGCATTGTCTGGCAAATAAAGACTCAGATGGCATTCAAGGATACTGAGCCCTAATCTCAGACTAAAATTACCCGTTTATAACCAAAAAGATTATACTGACCATATACATGTTGAAACCTGCTGGAACTGAAGGATTACAGAAAGGGTCATGGCTTGAAATACAGCTTGGAAACATGGTTGGGAAGGTAAACCCTTTACTGACAAAGCACCTCCTGCAATTTTTTCATTTTTTTTCCAGGCACTTTACCATTTTATGATCCAGTGCAATTTAATGGATCTCTACAGATTGGCTTACCTCACACTGAGGACCTACTCCTGCAAGGTTTCCTTACCAGGGAGCAGGATGGGAGCTAAACACCCACTGATCAGAGACAATAGAGTCACCAGGATCTGAAGATGCTCATTGCCCCCCCTGCTCTCCATCTCAGTTAAGTCACTGTGTATAGGCCACAATCTAAGCATATAAAAATATACATGAAAATACAGCTCTTCTTCTTCCCCCCCACACATTGGGAGAATTCGGCATATACTGGAAACTTTCTTTTATCATGCACACAGGGTTTAGAAATAGGGCAGTTAAAGTTCACATCAAACGCTGCAAACAACACATTCAGATCTTTCAGCAGACTCTGTACTCTTGTGAGTGTCACTTGCTCAGCATCATTCAGAATGAGCCCATAACCACAACAAAATAGAGGCAAACATAAAAACCCCACCCTGCAGTGATGCATACATTGGATGTTACAGACGATATGCAGATGGGAGGAACAGATCACTGTGTGTTACCCTAGCCCACCCACAGCCACAGTTACAGACAGTGCTGTAAAAAAACTAAGAGCCACTGACAGCTACTGAATAAGACGCTCAGCATTTCACCCCACTAAAATAGAAGGTTTTGTTTTTTGGTTTTTTTTCTTTCAGTGATCAGTGCCATTTCTCAGGAAGCACTTGCAGATTTTACATATACTGGTCTTTAACTATTCCAGTAATACTGCCTTTATCATCACCATGTCATCTACTGAGAAGAATTCAAAGTATGCCAATTCACACTGAAGATAAGCTAACATATTTCCCCAAACAGAACAAAGATTCTATCTATCTATCTATCTATCTATCTATCTATCTATCTATCTATATCTTTTCCTCCACTGTGGTTGCTGAGATGAGTTTACACATGGGCTAGTCGAACAAACATCCTTACAAGCAATTATCATAATTTACTAACAGACTGTTTCTGTAATTCTGCAATTATCATAATTTACTAACAGACTGTTTCTCCTTTTGCAGTTCCTGACACTTAGCTCAGTCCAAAATCTTACACGAATATTAAAGCATATAAGTGACATCTCTGATTTCTCTATTTGGTCTTGGAAATTATGCAAGACTCAAATACTTCAGCAGAGGTAATTTACAGTCAGTAAACAAATGTTCATCTTGAATAATATGAGTCAACTCCCTTCAGGCATTTTTTTTTCCTTAGAAATAACAATATTTGTATGCAGAAGACAAGAAGTGGACAGTAAATTACGGATACAGATTTTATCTAGGAATAGAGGTTGAACCAAGACTTTGATTTATAATTACACTTCAACAGACCGCTTGTCACAGCAGCGCCAATAGTGTACACTACTTTAAGATTGAACAACAGACTCCCTGCCCTACTTCTTAACAGCTCTGCCGCATGCAGGTCTCAGCCTAAATCAAATGAAAAATCATGTATATTCAAATTACTGACACATCCCTGATGTAGCCTATTTTAATATGACTCTGTAATTACAGAGTAGTGGTTGTGTTTTGTTTAGAACCAGTGAACCCGCTGAAGGAAAGGAAATCTGCTAAACAGCCCATCGATTTAACTAATACCGCTTTCAACTTCTAAATCTGCAGCGATACAATCGGTTTTGCAGAGCCAGACCCTGACCCTACGTAAAGTCCTCTAAGCCACAAACTCAGTGGCTTCCTAGGACCTGCAGTGAGACGGAAAGCAGAACACGCTGCTCCTGCTAGGAATACACTGCTGTTCATCAGTTCATCACATGCAGACAAAGAAACCAAACTCTAAATTCCGCCCCCCCTCCCCAGTTCATCATAACGCCAGAACAACTCCGTCTCTGAAAATGAACGTGCTGGATTTCTTCCCAACTTCATAAAGAAACAGTATGAGAAGTTAAAATGCATTTGGTTTCCTTTATAGAGC